GCTCTCTCTCTCTCTCTGTGCAAGTATTCTAAACTTGCCGTCATCTTCGCAGAACAAACAAGATGTTTACACAAACATTTAGTTTAACGACGGTACGGGGAGAAGAGTTCACGTTCCGAAGCCCGAACACGGAGGACATCCGTGATCTGGTGGTATACTTTTTGGAAGGGCTGAAGAAGCACAGCAAGTTCGTCATAGTCCTGTAATATTACAAGGCACCGAGCGAGGGCTCGTCGTTCCTGAATTTTCAAAAGGGCGACCGCATCGTTCTCGAAGACAGGAGCACCGGCGAGACTGTGCTCAACTCAGGATGGTATGTCGGCATCTGAGTGGACTGGTGAGAAGGGCGATTTCCCGGCTGAAACGGTTTATGTTTTACCTTCCTTAACGAAACCACTGAATGATATATTGGTGCGCATCAACATACATAACTTTAAGTGCCGAGAAATGTTGACTTTGTCTAAATTCGATTATAATTTTCAGGCTCTTCAGTATGGAGGGTACGGAGAATAGTCGCAGACTCTATCCGCAGCAAATGAACGGCGTGGATTCTCGCGATAAACCCCACACTCTTCTAGAGTACGCAATCGATTACTTCCGGTAAGTGAAAACGTCGCGTTTGATATTCTAAATTAAAAAGATTGATAACTCTCTGATTGAATTTATCTCAGAACACCGCCAAAGAGAACAATGTCCAAGACACTGACCTTCATCGGCGCGACGTGGTCATGTGGACGAATTGTGGCATCACCCCAGAGAACCGATAAAACAGCTACTTTTGAAGAAACTTGTGTCCAAGGAGGAACTAGCCGAAGAAGCGTGTTTCGTCTTCAATGTCATTTTGAAGTACAGGGCGATCTTCTGACGAAACGACCGCGCATTGGCAACGAATACACTGACTTAATCTTCGGCGGGCCATTAAAGAATAAAATTTTGCGAGACGAGATTTATTGTCAGATTATGAAGCAGCTTACCGATAACCGGAACAGATTGAACGAGAAGCGAGGATGCGAGCTAATGTGGCTTGCCACTGGACTGTTTACTTGTAGTCAAAGTCTCTTAAAGGTATAGTATGTAATTGAATTGCATCTCCCTCTTCCTTTCTATTTACCAATAATTATTGTATTTTACAAAATAATATCGATGAAATGCTTGAAGAAAAATTCGCAAGTATAGATATATATGCATGCATAACTTTACATTGCAGGAATTAACTTTGTGTCTGCGTATAAGACGGCATCCCATATCCCAGGACTCTTTACAAAAGCTGCAGAAAACCTTGCGCAATGGGCAACGAAAATATCCGCCGCCTCAAGTAGAGATGGAAGCTATCCAGAACAAAACTACGCAAATATTTCGCAAGGTCTACTTTCCAGACGACACGGACGAGGCACGTATCTTATTGCTTATTTCTTGTAGGTAACCTTTTCCTATCGATTGTTAGCTATCGTAATTTCGGTTTACAGGCATTCGAAGTTGACTCCTAATATTCCTATAATATCCAAAAATATTTTTAAATAGAAGCAAACCCTGGCTAAGGTAAAATTTTTCGCAATAAATTTCTTTAGTCGGAATTTGCCAGTTAGTGTTGTTTAGCAATTTTTTACATTGATTAAATGTACTGGTCTAAAATAATTCTTTTCATTAATTTATAATCTGTATGTATTATTTGGTAAATTTTTCTTATTTTCTTCTATTTATTTTCTTCTATTTATGTTTATGAAGATATGTAAAATATTTTATTTTATCGAAGTGTTTTTATTAGTTCTAATTAGTATAAAAAAGGTGTGAAAATCTTTTGTCGTAAAATTTTTATATAACGTTTTATTATAATCAACTAATAAGAATATTCTTAAAAGTCGCCAGCACTAATTAACAACGTCAAAGATATATTATATTGACCATATCTGACAATTTTAATTTATTGCGAAAAATATTACCTCAGCCAGGGTTTGAACCTGGACTTCCCTACATACTAGGCGGGCGTGTCAACCACGCCTCAGTGGTCGAATTGGTTGAGACGCCCGCCTAGTATGTAGGGAAGTCCAGGTTCAAACTCTGGCTGAGGTAATATTTTTCGCAATAAATTAAAATTGCCAGATACGGTCAATATAAATCTTCGATGTTTCATTATAATATTATGAAAAGTTCTTACACATTTTTTCACTTCTACATTAATTTTACTTTTGTGGATTCTTTTAAAATTATTTGTTTTATTGATTTGATGTATAGCCCGAGGAACTCGATACACGTAATACGATCCTGCAGATAAAACGCATGGTTATGTTTCATTCGACATTTATTTTGTCGCAGTGAACTCTATACATACTGGAATGAGTGACCTATAGTTCTGGCTGTTGCCGAGAGAGAGGTGCGTTGGGTGAATCCTTGTCTCCTTCTAGTACTGATTGGATAATCGCATATAAGTGACGCCCTTCTTCTCGTCATTTATATGCGACTATCCAATCAGGTAGTACTAGAAGGAGACAAGGATTCACCCAAACGCACCTCTCTCTCGGCAACAGCCAGAACAATAGATCACTCATTCCAGTATGTATAGAGTTCACTGTTTTGTCGTCACGGCAACCAAACAACCATATTGTGCCGCCGCATTGTTCAATTTTTTCCTTGAATGAATTGCATCATTTCGGCTTTCGACAGGACGAAACCTAACGTTATTGTAATCTGAGGTAATCTTTTTCGTATTTGATCTTACCTTATGTTTCATGTTACATTAAGTTATTGAAAATATTTATACAGATAATGTTTATGCGATAACGAACTTGACCGCCGTACGTTATTAGTACGACAGTTCATCACTATCCGGCTATCCGGTCTATTCGGTCGTTTTCTACAATCCGTCTAGATTGAAATTATTTATACATGTATGTATATTTCATGTTACTTACAGTAGAAATATAGAAACGTTAGGCCTTTAATAGAAATATTCTAATTACGGATGTGCCGGATAGTGTATTTGCTGGATAACCCGATACTGGATAATTCAACACTTATTGTAACTGGAAAACCGGATAACCGGATATTATCCGGCAATTAACACATACCTACAAATACTTAATATATTTGTCAATACATATATTTATTTAACTCACAAATAGATTTAATATCGCCAGTAATTTAAAACCAATGATATGTATTTTTCTAAAAATGACCTACACTGCCCAATACTTTTATTTAAAAAATACACGACGTTTTGGTCACAGATTTGGACCCTTTTCAAGCAATCTGCAAATATACATAACTCCACACTAAATTTATATTTTTTAGTTTCTTTGTGTAATTGCCGGATAATATCCGGTTATCTGGTTCTCCAGTTACAATAAGTGTTGAATTATCCGGTATCCGGTTATCAGGCAAATACACTATCCGGCACATCCGTAATTAGAAATTTCTATTAAAGGCCTAACATTTCTATATTTCTACTGTAAGTAACATGAAATATTAATATTAACACAGAATCCGTCTCGCGGCAGTTTTCGGCGACTATAGTGTCCGTCAGTAACAAAAAGGTTAAAATAATGAGCATATTTTTCAGTGTGTCTATAGTGTTTTTAGATTTTTGTCATATAATGTTCTATCTGTACTCTCCCTTTTTATATTGATTGCATTTATAATAATACTGCATTGATAGTATCATATTTTAAGTGTAGGATATTTTTAACAGATTAAAAAATGAATCGAAAACGGCCAAGGAAAGACATTTTATATGTGTCAAAAAGACATTCGAATTCATTGTGCAAGCAAGAAGCTGATTTTATTTCTAATGTTATCTTGAACACTACTGCAAGTAGTAGATACTCAGAAAATACTTCCGCAGTTAATTCATGTGATCAGTTTAATAATACAACTGATATAAACAATGATTCTGTTCACGAAATGAATGACATTGACGATACATGCATTGAAAGTCAAAATTATGATAATTGCAAACAATCAAATGATTCGCGATTGGAATTGCAATTGAATTCACAATTGGATTTAGAAACAGACTTGCAATCAAATTCACAATCATTTGTTCCGGATTCCATTGAGAAATCAATTTCTTACGTAGTATCTGAAAATGCTAATCTAACAGATACTAGTTTCAATACTGTTCTTGCTATGTGGGCTGTACAACATCGAATATCGCATACTGCTCTAACATCATTGCTACAAATATTGAGACAACATTCTTGTTTTTCTACGTTATTATTACATGCTAAATCATTTTTGAAAACACCACGGAAACAAGAGATACATACAGTAGTGCCAGGAACCTATTGTCATTTTGGTATACTACATTCAGTATTAAAAATAATAACGTCTGTCAAAGATAGTATTGATTGTGTCAAAATTTTTGTCAACGTGGACGGATTACCTTTGACGAAATCATCACAACAACAATTTTGGCCTATCTTAGGATCAATCTTTCCGTACGAAAATGTTTTTATTATTGGAATATATCACGGCAATGAAAAACCGGAAAATGCCAATGATTTTTTGAAAGATTTTGTAAACGAGGCAAAAGAATTATGTGAAAAAGGCATTAATATTGACAATCGAAATATACCATGCAGAATTGAAGCGTTAATTTGTGACACACCTGCCAAAGCATTTGTTCTATGTGTTAAAGGACATTCTGGATATTCCAGTTGTACAAAATACACAACTGAAGGAGAATACATTGACAGACGAATGTGTTTTCCACAAATTGATGCACCACGTAGATCTGATGACGATTTCATACAGAAAATAGACGATACTTACCACAAGCCAAATACAACTTGCAGCCTGTTAAACATACCTTATTTCAAGCCCGTTACAAATGTGCCATTAGATTATATGCATTTGGTATGTTTAGGAATAATGCGAAAGTTATTGAATTTATGGCTTCATGGAGATTTACATTTTCGGTTACAATACAAAGCTGTTGACGAAATTTCTACACGTCTAGTGACGCAATTAAAAAGTTACATACCTATAGAATTTGCCAGAAAGCCTCGAAAACTGGATTGTATCAAATTATGGAAGGCAACGGAATATAGATTAATATTGTTATATACAGATCCCATGGCGTTCAAAACTATATTAAAAAATAATGTATACATCAATTTTATGACACTGCACGTGATTATGAGCATTTTGTCTTCGCAAGAGCTACATGAACATCTAGCCTATGCGCAAGATCTAATTTACTTTTTTATTAAAACATTTTCAAAGATATATGGCGTTGGAAACATTTCACACAATGTTCATAGTCTTGTTCATCTTGTGGACGATGTTAGAAGATTTGGACCTGTTGACAATTTCAGTGCGTTTAAATTTGAAAATTACATGCAAACACTGAAGAGATATATTAGAAAAGCTGATAAACCGTTGCAACAAGTCGTACGCAGATATATTGAAAACGAAATAAATTCACATTCGTCAATATCAGCTGTTTCATCCAATTTTATTGCAACACATTCAAGTCTTAAGTCACTGCATTATGATGGACCACTTATACCTTATTGCAACAATCCACAATATAAAATTGTGACATACAATGGAATAACATTGAAAGCTGGAATACTTGCGGATAATTGCTGTGGCTTAGATAATGGTGCCATTATATCTATCGAAAATATTGCATATTGTACAAAACGAAATATTCCTGTGATTATAGGCCATGAGTTCTTGCAAAAAGATAATCTATTCAACATTCCTTGTCCATCTTCGTTACTTGGAATTTACATTATATACTTGCGCTCACATCTGAAATCATGGCCATTAAAAAATATAGTTCGAAAATATGTAAGATTACCATGTGACGAAGACCGATATGCAGTTTTTCCATTATTACATACCCAAATGTAAATCAGATCAATGCAAATTTGAACAGAATGGCTGAGAGATTCTATGCAGTCGTCGAGTTTGAAGATGGACTTCAAATTATTCCAACTAATTGGTTGAATATAAGTGCTATGAAAGCTGTCTGGCCTAATTTTACCAATAATAAGAGATATTATCAAGCGGTCAAGGCTATGGAGGAGTCCAAATCTACTTGGCTACAACATACCGTTCTAAAAATATATGCAACAAGTCGTAAGTAGTGTCACTATATTTTTTCATATGTATTATTTCTTTGTAAATAACAAGAAAACGTAAATTATAAAATTTAATAAAGTGTAAAAATATATTATTTCCCAATATTATTTCAAAAATAATATTGGGAAATAATATATTTTTATGTAAAATAAATATATTATTGTGTTGCAGCTAGTTATGAAGTGGCAAGGAAAAAGTTGAAAGATGCCGAGGACCTGTCAGATCTGAAATCTGGCACAGAAAAAGAACACTACCGTAAAAGAACCAGGAAAATACGAGCCGCTAAACCCATACATGATTCGTGTAGTTCAGTGGAACTGTCAGATGACAGTTTTCTGTCAGATATCCCAAATGTGCCGGACGTTTTAAAAAAGAAACATTCTTCTATCAGTGTGCACACTGCAAAGAAACCAAAAACCTCAACAGACGTACAAAAGGGTAAGAAGAAAAACAATATAAATAACAATAACACTACAAAAAGATAGATATTTATAAAATGTAACAAAACAAAGGTCTAAAGATGTCTAGAAAAACAAACAAAAAAGAAAAATATAGCATTAAATATTTATAATATTTATAAGTAACGTGTATATGAAGAAGTACAAAAATGTTGATTTTTTCATTTCAGAATTACTGGAACGTAAAGGCAATGAACGTCACGTAATACTGGAGCCAGCGTATAATTACGGATCTAATTCACAAGGTATTTATCCATTTGTCTATGTGCATGTGCGTGCATACATGTATCCGTGCGTGTAAGGAATAAATAAATATTAGTGTCCACGTCCAGTTTATTAAATTTTTTATAATTTTATAATTTAGAGCATGATATGCATATTGTACAACATATTAAGGGGATCCCCCAACATTCGGCGAACTCTGACGGGTGTGCGCCATCTAAGACACGGAACTAAAAATGTCGGTAATTTACCATTTTTAATTCCGTGTTCTACTTTACCATCCTGCGCAAGCCATGAGCACAGACTTAGATACATATAGACCGCGCACCTCGTAAGAGGTTTACGATTAGACAGAGACAGCAGTAGAGACTGTAATGGCGTCTCTCTAATGCGTGAGTTGGTAGGAGAATAGAAAGCAGCGAAGAGACGGACGGCGAGGCGCTTTCATGTCTTCACACATGATTTCGCCTCCCCTACTTTTTGCACGTAAAAGAGAGAGACAACATTACAGACGAATTATCTCTGTCCTTCAGATCTCGTGTTCAGCTCGGCCGTATGAACGTACGATCTAGCTGCAATGTATAAGCCAATAAATCTAACACATACATGTATTGGAAATACATGTGTACACTACATGCAAAGCAGTCATCTTTCACGTATCTAATCCATTATAGATCTGAACGTAAATATGTATAATACATATTTGCATACAGATATACGATACATGTATCCTTTTCCAAGGATATCAACTATATATTATATATTGCACACAAATGAAAGAGCGATTTTTTACTATTTTATGAAATGATAACATATGTATACTAGCTTTCAACGTTTAGTAAGTATTAGTATACTATACGTTGAGAAAATTATCGCATAACATTGAATTAGATATTCATCCAGTATATGTATGAATATATATTGGATTTATGTGTTATGCAATGTCGGAATGTAAGTGCACATATTATATTATAGAAAACAATATAACAAAATGAACATATAATATATTAAGAATAGAATGGGCCCCTCCAGCGCCCATTCCCGTGAGAACGCTACCAACCTGTATTTTCCGTCTCTCCGAATGTAATTTACAACTATTTATATGTAATAACCGTCAGAGCAAACGCTTCTGATTTTTATCAGTTCCGTCAAAATAGACG